TTCCTCGGAGCGGAAACATGAAAAACTAACTACACCCTCGGCAGTCTTCGAACCACAGATCTTCTGGTTGTTGGTTGAATGTGCTAATCACTTAAACCAGGATAGCACGTGTCTTGGTATGCATTTGAGAATGCGACAATTCATTATAATTTAACATTTATTACCATCTTTAATTGTTTATACACTGATTTGAAATGACGCAAGTTTCCTTTGCCCTTGTTAATCATCGCTGTATGTCATTACCCTCTTTAACTGTTTTAACTATGCTGAAACGAGGCAAAAGCTTCGTACTCGTTCTCTTATTAATATCAGTTTGTAATTAGAATTTAAATTTTATGATCGAAAAATGTATAAGCTTGTTAATGCAGAGAAAAATGAAGAAAATCAAAAAATGCAAATTTCATTAAACGTAAGTCTAGCTAACATTATTTTATTGCCACTCAGAACAATTTGGATACTTACGTATTATCCTGTAGACCATAAAATGTTCGCCAAGAAGCACGATTTAGTGCCAGTTATTTATAACCATGATGTCACAAGACATCTGCACTTTCGTTTGATGTAACTGCGATTGCAGCTTGATAAGCCATCTTTTATGTTTAAGAATAAGGATATAAATTAACTTTTACTGCTGTATTTTATACTTGCATTTTGAAAACAAAAATGAGTTCGAGGGCTGTAGAATCATACTAGTGATGCACTTAGGTTCCTTTACAGCTCGAGAGTGAATGCGGAATATAGCAGCTGGATATAACCGACTAAACAGTAATACATTGCAGCAATCACCTGCGGAAAGTTTATACTCACGATGTTCTAAACAGAGAGTGTCCAGTAACATTGAAGGGCCAACAAAATAGTACAAATTGAGGAGAGCCACGCAAGAAAGGCTCCCTCCCTCCAAAAAAAGGAGCGGGTTGAACACTTTAGCAGCAGTGGCTATTTGGTGGATTGTGCAGAAAGTCTGACGAGTGCATTATTGTAAGAGTTTACAGATAGAAGTGCGGTTCAGTCGATGGTAGCCAACAGTCACGGTGGACCTGATAATATGTTAAGTACCAAAACTTTTAATGGCTTTGTACGCATCTGAATAAAAATTCGTTTTTTAGAATGATAGAAATGAGTATACCTTTTTTAGTTAGACATCTTAATGTTACAGGAAGAAATTATATCGCATATCATTTATTTCTAAATGCATTAACTCGAGAAAATACTTTAGAGACAGTTCAAATTTCAAATTCGATTTTATAATTTTGAATTTAATGTTGTCTTTGGTCGAACTTTTCAAAATGTAGCGCTTTTAAATATAACACCTACAAAAACACCACCGGCTTTTAAAGGCATTTTTATTGATTTCGAAAATATTTCCTGAAACTCACTTGACAGCACATTATTTTAGAAACTTTTTCAGTTGAGATTCGTTTTACAAAACCTACTACCACGCATAATCAAAAGAGGTGACTACTATGGTCATACTTCAGTGATTTTCTATTGCAGTTATTCGGCAAACCATGTTTCGATCACAACCTTGCTTGACCAGTTATTTCAATTGCATCGTATATTTCACAACGTGAATTTTTAATTCCTTTGCTGAAGTGCTTATTTATACGTGTATGTTCATAAAAATAAAATACAGTTGTAAATTTAAAGGATAGTTGTATTTAAAGTTATGTCAACAGCATAAATAGTATGGAAACTGCGTATGTGTAAACAAACTTGATTTCATTTTTCCCAACAGCCAGTCTCAAAGATTTCAGATTTTGAGTCTCACTAAGTCTTTCCGTCCGATAAAATATTCAGGCTGTGCTAGGGAGCTCCTGTGTTAGGGAAAATAGCGCAATAGTCGGCTATTCTGCAACAGAATTGCCTTTTATTGCTTTTACAGGGCTTATGTTTCTATTGCAGGTGAATTAAGACTGCTGTAAGCCAAGTCACCCAAACTGCATTTAAAATTATCTAGAGAAAGTACGAAGTCTGTTGACAGTCATCTATCTGAAAATATAAATTACATTCGAAGTAGATTATGACTTCCACCGGCAGACAAGAATTACATTACGTACAACTGATATTTTTTTACCACTTTTTTTTACGAGATATTGTAACAGTGAGGACGTAATTCTGAAAAGACGGAAGAAATGAGCACATCATTGTGAACAAAAAGGGAGGTAAGTCTTTTCTAATGAATTAAGTCATTAGCGAAATATATAAAAAGTAACTTTAAAAAAGTTATGCTACATAAATAATTACCTAATTGCAAATTTCAATTATTAGATAATGAAGTAATTCGTATGGGAAGAAAATACGTAAAATTATTTACATTTTAGATGAGAAATATATTCACAATTTGTTTTTTGATTTTGGAAACTATATTGACTTAAAGCAAATCATTTTAATTAAAAGAGTCGTTTAATAACTGATTAAATTATTAAGATATAGGTGAATTTAGAGATTGAGACAATGTTACAGATTTTTAAATAGTATATGTAAAATATATACTCAACATGTAACTGTATTCACAATATGTAAACGATTATATACGTATAAATTAAAGATGAAATGAGTTTGAAAGCAATATTTAAGAAAATATAAATATATTATCTGCGTTTAACTATCTTGAGAATCAAACTGGAAAAATGCAACACTCTGAAATAATTTTAGAAAACAAGTATTATGTATCTGCAAATGTAAAACTCCTTTATTATAAGTTAGTACCTTTTTAACATGTCATGTTTTTAAGTTTTTGTGGCTTTACGCGAACATTCTAAGCATCGCCTAAATTGAACGTCTTTTTTTTAACCCTCAAAGATAAAGTTATTTGTTTGTGTGACAGGATCAGCTGGTCGTTAATTACTCGAGGGCTATCGTAACATGATAGAAAAATTATTTACTCCTGCTAGGGAAAAATCCATTTATACTCTTCGGAGCTCTTCCTTTCAGTGGCTAATTGACAGCGTATTTTGAAAGTTTTTATTCATATTAAGAAAAATGGTTATATTATTGTTTATTTTATTATTAAATAATAATAATGAGACGTCAAACCGAGTAAAAATTCTTCTATTAGTGATAAGACTAAGTTTTAGAATTGCACAGATAGAATGAAATTTGATATTAATATTAATTTTAATAAAGACGAGAGTAGTTAACACAAAACAGATAATTATAATGACATCGGCAAAGAGCTAAAGGAGGTTAAATTGGTATTTCAAATTTACAAGGATGTTTAGATTTCAAAATGCTCTAATTCTGAATGTAAACATTTTGATATTCTTGGTTATTCACAGGTTTAATGTATTAAATATATATTTGTATAATTTCAGTAAATAAAATTTGCATTACGTCATTCTTCCCGCTGGTAATTTTTTTCTGTTAAAAAGCAGACTATCCGAGTTAAAAAACAAATTGCTTTACTCACAAAGTTAAGATGGAAAGTCTACCAAAATTATACAAATAGCGTATGATTTCTTTTGGCTTCAAAATGTATTAAAATTTTTTAATAACAATTTATATTGTTTCTAGGGAGTCTCAATAATTTGTCGAAGATAATGCAAAGTAATTCAATTTTGAGTTTAACAAATATTGAGTATTTTACAGGTTTTTAATTAAAGCGTTTTTGTTTTTAAAACCATACGTTTAATACTATTTTGTGTATTTTAATTTTCTTTTATATGATTTTGGCAGCTGCTAGAGATAAATCGACTTGAATAACTCCATTATTCAAAAAGAGATATTGTCGAAGTTGCCAGCATGAAACGAAGTGCGGCTTTTCGTGTGAATGTTGGTTCACTTTTCAAACTGTGGCCACCAAATATTAGAGCCCTGTGTAATATTTAAAGAAATTAAATAATGAAGAATCTTCATAAATGTATATATGTTTCTCGCATTGTGATTCATCAATCAAATTTGGGATAACGTAATCTTCTGCTGAATATGGGCATCTGAAAGAACGAATTTGGAATTTGAAATTTGTTTTATTATCGAGTTCATATTTTGTAACACTTAAACGAATTTTTGATTAACAAACTCAACGATTTCAAAGCGAGCAATGGCAGCACTGTACGAAAAAAAAAAACATTTTTATCTCCAGTGCACGACACTGTGCATAGGAAATTCTAAAGATATATTCATTTTAAATTTGTTTTGCGATATTGCTGTTGAATTGAATTTTATGGTTTAAGTGGGAAGAACATGATATTTTATCAATAAAGGCAGCACACAAAACGTTAAGAAACACCCCTTTGGGCGTAATGTAAAATCTGAAAGCTTTCAGATTTTTTTTTCAAAGTGACCAGTTTGTGACTTCCCAAAATGTCTCCTCAATCATAAGTATATAAAAATCAGTCGGAAGATTTCGGACGTAAATTCAGCTTTTTGTAATAAAATTCAACACTAATTAAATGTAGCATGTTAAAAAATGAAACGCATGACGATATTTAAAAATTTTAAAATGAATTCTAATTTTGAAATAGTCACAACACATTGCAATTAAAATTCAAATAATACTGTTTTGATTAAATGGGAATTTTTAAAGTAAAGAAAATTTGAAATTTATAAAATAAAATAATAAAGAATTAATAAAACTAGAGGAAATTTGCTTAACATTAAGAAAGCCTATTGGGAAAAAAGGTATTTTTTAAATCACTTAAAAATAAAATAAGCATTAAGTGTCAGAAGGATTATGATACAAATTTCGTATTTTCTTTAAATACAAGAAATCTGATTTGATTAATTAATATACATATTATTTTATATTTGCATTAAAATATTACGAAAAGAATCTAAAAGAAAAATGCACAATCTAGTTAATAATAAATTAAGGTATTAGTAAATTCAATAGTAGAATAAAGCTAATGTTTAAGTGATCAATTAGCACCTTTACTAAATTAGTGACGGTAGTCAGCGTCACGTGTGCATAAATTCTGTACAACATTTTACTCTTTAGGAAAATGAGAACGCAATTCACAACAATCAAATAAACTGTTATAAAAACAAAAAATATCGCTTACTCGCTAATTTTTTGAGACAGATATGTAGCCAACATGTTGGAGCAACGACGCACACTGTAACCACTATTGTGAAAGCCAGCAAACCGATGCATACTGACAAGATGATGATTTTTTCGTTTTCAGTCAGTTGAAACATTCTGAAAGAGAAAAGTACATTTAAGAAATATTTGAACAAATTTCAAAATGATCCAAAAATTTTATTATAGAAATATATCTTTCAAGAAAAGTGTAAAAACGTTACGGTAGTATGCTTATCTAGTACAAATAGAGCCGCCCAGACGGTATAATGGTTAGGGGAGTCTAGTGCGGTACCGAAGAGCCCGGGTTCGAATCCCGGAGAAGGCATGAATGTTTGAAAAAGTATAGTATCTGTGCGGCATGGAGAAACTCAAAATATGTGGCGAGGTGAATGTCCTCTTGAGAGGCTGTTGGTAGGGTCAAAGGCTGTTGTTAGGGAAAGAGGGTTGGAAGACCCTCGAATCTGTTCTCCCCGAAGTTCTCTCCATTAAAATTGGGGGGAGGAACTGAACGAAGTCAAACTGTCACCAGTGTGATGCTCAAGGCTCTTGCCAATGTCAGCAGCCGTCTTGCTCTCTTTGCCCCGATGAATTTCGGGGGATTGTGCTGATTTTACTGTCAGACAAGTGAGATAAATCACAATACACAACAACAGTACCACAGACAGAAATTTCAAGTTCAGGCATCGTTCTTATACCATTTGAAAAAGAAACTTGCATTCGAATATGTGATATGAATTTTTATGTTACATATTGCAAGTTGTTTTTTAAGTTACACAATGATTTCGTAAGCTTCATTTATATATTTTAAAATTTACATTACATGTACATACTGAAATTTAACCTTCCAGTTATTAAAATAAGCAGTTAGATAGATAAGCATTATGACACCCAAACACCGTTAAATAATTGAATTAAAATTATAAAGCTTTTATTGTTTTTAAAAATTCTTTTGAAATAATTAGCTTCTCTAATGCGTATTAAGTAGTAGGAACAAAGTCAAGAATTTTGGAATGTGAAACGAGACTTTTATACATACTAATTTGGATAAACGTTACTTGTTAGATCCAAAACGGAGCATATCTAATTGAAGATTTTGATGTTTTCCTTTTTTCTGACGATTGAGTTCAACTCTTCCTTCAGTAATGAGAAAAGGAAAGAGAGTTAATATCAACTTGCGAATTATTACTGTGTATAGCATGCTTGAAATTATTCATAATATGACTGTTATTGTAACATTCATACTTATTTTCAGTTGTCATCGGTTTGGTATTATTTCTAACTCTGATACAGAGGAAAATGAAGTTCCGGAAACCGACATTTCTATTTTCTAATTTTTACAGCTTTTGGATCAGATCGATTATCGAATACAATTACAAAATTTAATTATGTAGCTTCTTTATGAGCGAATCAAATGTAGATGGTTTAAATAAGTTCTAGAATGAAAAGCATCAGAAACATGGTCCTATAAATCAATCGTTTTCAAAATATCCAAAATAATTTTCTCTTACCAGTCTTTTGTTGATCTCCCGTATTGCTTGCTGCAGTCCAACTAAATTCTAAAATATATCTGGCTTCTTCATATAATTCTTAACTCTCGTTTTACTTCCCTCAACAATTCACGACTTCCGATAAATTTGGAATAGTAAATGATTTTACCATAACAAATTAAATCCGAGACTAATTTTTAATGTTATAAGGTAATATTTGAAATTGTTAGTTAAAGTTCCCTTTTAAAAGGCGTTCTGATACAATTTTATTTATCAAAAGCTTTCAAGAGATAGGAATAACTCAAACTAGACTATACATTTTCGCTTTTGGCTAGCTAAGAACACAGCCACTAAATCTTTAAATGGCCACTTGTGCCTCTAAAATATTTGAACTTTTTTTTAGATTGCTTTAAGAAAGAGACTACCTTGAAATACAGAAATTAGTTGCTTAGCAGGAAACTTTAGAGTTTTAGCTTTAAAACTGTAAACTGTTCCGACATTTTATGCCTGTAACGAGTTAATAGACAAACAACGTTGTACCTTTCGAGAAACCAGAATTGTTATTTTTGATCGTAGGTTCTGATTACTAAAGGTTCAATGGAGGAACAATATTAGACAAGGCATTTGTTGGATCAACGGTATCCATGTATTTGTATTTAGCAGTATTTTTGTAGATAGATCAAATATACTGTACAAATTTCTTAACTCAATCAACCAATAATGTAGTGTTTATATATATATATATATATATAAAGATATGCATACGTAGCGATAGTTTAAGGTGATTATTTATCTTAAGAAAGAAAATTTACGATGGTACAGATAATAGCTTTTGGTAAGATAATAGAAGAAATGCAATTTTGTTAACTAAATGTTTTATAGCTTTTGGAAGAACAAAGAGGTAGCTACCGAAGCAATTTGATTAGGCTTTTCATGCAGTGTTAATTGGATAAAATAATATTTATCCAATTAACGCTGCTCATGAAGATGTAACGTATTCCTAACATCGTTTATTTTTGCATTATTTTAGAGACTATTTAATGATTCTTTTTTTCATTTTAACAAAAGATGAATTTCAGTTTAACGTCGTTATGGATTAAAAATTCCTCTTCATGCTTGGATTATTCTGCTTCTCCTTCGTGTGTTAAATCTATGCAGAAATTTAATTTTACGCTAAGTAAGGCTCAAAATAGTTTACAATTTTATTTATCAAAAGCTAAAGAGTGAAAACGCGAAAGGATAAAGGCTTTACAGAAGCGTTTTTAGTTTTCTAATTCTGTGGTAATCATGTAAATTACTTTTAATATTGTGTTTTTTATAGATAATTTACTCCCTGCAATCTGTTTTGATAATATATGGAAAATCAGATAGACAATCAGAAATAGAAATTTTAATGTCAGATACAAATTCTTTTTATCTTATATTCTGCATTGAGGCTATTAATTGTATTTATTTTTTCCCTTATTGGCTAAATATTGTTTGATTCATATTAGTTTATGAGTTTGGATGTCGAAAATAATTTTATGAATTTTTTATATAGAGTTCTACCGTAGATTCGGAGATTTAAATGAAAGATAGTTCTTATTTTATCTTGTCTAAATACTCTAATACGTACGCCTAATACTCTAATACATGCCATTATTTTGAAATACAGAGACCAGTAGTTTATAGGGTGTTTTTCAAAACAGAAGGCCTCTGAAATTCGGCGTTATCTGTGTTATTGCCTTAAATATCTGCAAATATGCTGACAATGGGCATCATATATTTTATTTTTAATTCATTTAATATTCCAGTATATATATATTAAAGAATGATATAGGATTTATAATAACACATGTTGTACTGCTTAAACACACTCCTTTAGAGTTATGTGTTAAGACAACGCACATTAGTTTCTCTTCGTTAGTTCTATTACAATCCTTCTTAGCACATGCTTTATCGTTTTCCATCACAGTGCCTGACAGCAGTTGATAGAATTGCAGCCCAAAAGATGAAAAATATCAAACTGTTTATTTTACCGTTAGTATAGCTGTCGATAATTCCACATATAGCACAATAACAGATCATTAGCAAGACGAATGAAACAGACGGTGAAAGCGACGGATGACAGAAAAGGAGCGTACAGGTAGTTGAGTGATGTCATCTCTTTGACAATTTGTTATGTATAGATTGGATTTTTCTGGTATTTCATGTATTCTGGTTTCCTGACGATATTCACTTAAAATAAAGCATCTTTTCAACAGTATATTCTTTATCACTCATACATAGATTTTAATTTTAGGGAGATCTTTTATGAGGCATAATCCATATTAAAACTGAAAAAAAAAAAAAAACAACGGATTTAATAAGGTTATCTCCATGTTTAATGTAAATACGCGTCAGATAACGTTGTAACCATTCCTTACAGAGGGAAGGAACCTGAGAATATGAATAACGTGTCCTAAATATAATTTCTTCAGGCTTTTCATCGGTTCGTGTCACGAAGAGGTAAACCCACAACTGTGTATAGTGATAATGGAACTAATTTTGTAAGAGCTTCAAATGCATTTAAATTAATATATTTTGAACAAATTAATCGGCAGGCAGCCAATGAGCGGATAACATGGAAATTTATTCCCCCTGGTGCTCCATGGTGGGGTGGTTGGTGGGAACGTCTGATCGGAATGATGAAGCAAGTCCTTAAAAAAGTTCTTAAACATGCTTGTTTAAATTATGAAGAAATGTACACGATACTGTGTGACTGTGAAGCGATTCTTAATGACCGACCGTTGACAGTAATTCCTTCCGATCCTGAATTTAAAGCTTTAACTCCTGCCGACTTTTTAAAAGAAATTAGAACTAGTAGTTTGCGGGATATAAAATACGGTATTAAATCAAGTAATTTACAAAGAAGATTTCAGTATATTCAAACTGTACGAGAAGCATTTAAAAATAGATTTCGTAAAGAATATTTGGGAATTCTCAAGGTTTCGCATAAAAGAGCTGAAAGGAAAGTTACTATTAAATTAGATGATATTGTTTTGATCGGTAGTAGTGACAAAAGACTTTTTTGGCAACTTGGTCGTGTCATAGAACTACTTCCAGGACCTGATGGAATAAATCGGCTTGCAAGAGTAAAGACCCGAAATGGAATTTTGCTTAGAGCAGTTCGAACTCTGTATCCTTTAGAGGTAGCGCAAAATGATGTACCCGTGAAGCTGCAGAATGAAAAACAAGATTCTTTGTCTGAACTTAAACTCAACATAGATGATAAATCTGTCAGGCCTGTAACACGATCTGGTAGAACTGTAACTCCGCCGGACAGACTGGCATATTAAGGCTCTTTGGCATTGTTTTACTTTGATGTGAAAGTTCACTTTTTTTTTCTTTTTTTTTTTTTTTTTTCCTTAGGTGGAAGGATGTTAAATATTTGCATAAGTCGCCTGTAGTAACGGCAACCGCCGGCAATAAAAGGAGGTGCTTTCCTTAGTGGCACCGCAGTTCCTTTTAGTTCGAGCCAGAATAGACCTGCCCGGGGAAGAAGCCAGGGGATGAGAGAGATTCCGGTTTCCGCCCTGTTCCGGTTCCCGTCTTGTTCCAGTCCTGTTCCGGTCCTGATCCAGTCCTATTCCAGTTCCAGCCTGGCCGTTT